GTCAGCTCGTCGAGGCAGTCGGTGGTTGGGCATACGCAACACATGTCCCAACCACCTCAACTGATGAAGTTTCAGCACTTCATCTATTGATCTGCCATTCTTACCTAGCACCCGATTCCTAAAAACAGCGTCGCTCACTCGGGTGTCCCACGATATACGAGCAATGCTTCGAAGACACCTATGATCGAAAACCAGTAACCTATGCATATCTTCTACTCTCACAGGCCATTTTTCATAGCCATAAAGAAAGACGGAGCGAACTACTGCGCAGTATACTCGTCGTTTAGTCAGCAAACGGATATCTCGCCTACGCCATAAGTGACGCAGGTTGGCAAAAGCCAATCGAGCCTTCTGTATCCGAGCTGAGATTTCGTCAGTCACCAGGCCATCAGCACTGATGAGACTCCCGAGATAAGTGAAGCGGTCTACTCGCCTATAATGCAAACGTATATGATCGTAGGGATAAGTTTTTCTTTACAGACGACAGCCATAAACATAATAAATATTCTCTTCATCTCATCTAAACAAGTTACAATGCTATGATCGATTAAACTAAAAAAACAACTTTGAACCAGATAATGGTAAACAGGAAAAACCGTGCTATTGTCAATGTTAACTATGTATATATATATAGAGAGAGAGAGAGAGATGAATTATTCAACTCAGCAAACATGAAATCAGGCGGAAGACATCTTAGTCAATTTACAGAAACAATGACAAAGTAACCAATAAACAATCACCATATCATATATATATAACAACAACACATTTATAGAGAGGAAAGCAAAATAATTACTTTGTATTCATTCTCTACAAGTTGATGTCAATATTCTTCTCTTTATGGAAAAATCTAATCACAAAACAGACTATAATTAACCTAATATGATAATAAAAAAAAACAAGAAGTTATTCTCTTGTAAAGTTTAATTTATCTTTTTTCTGGCGCATCAGTTCTTCATAAATTATTATTGTTGTTTATTTCTACACATACATGGGGAAATTGTAGAGTGAGAAAGTAAAGTGTACATTTTACAATAATTATTTAAATATAGGAATTGTGTAGGAGGAGGATTCAGTTTAAAATTGGTTTTTTAAACTATCAATTACAACATTAGCTGAAGAAAACAATACAATGATGTTTCGGCATATTTCGTTCAAAGTTAGGGGAAAAGTATAGCAACCTGAACTTAAGTACGTATGTCAGTCAGTCAGATGCAACATAGAACTTCGTACGTAAGTACATCAGTTCATGTCGCCATACCACATCAGCACTGAGACGACATTGTCAATTCAAATCCAATAGTAGAAGAGGTAGTAAAAGTATTAGAAGTAATCCGAGAGGTTAGCATTAGAAGATATTATTCAAGAAGTATGATTCAGTGAGAAAAATTTAGAAAGTCAAAACTAGAGGTGTTGAAGAATCCAGAAGATTAGGATTTGAGAGAACACAACGAATAAATGCACCGGCGGTATTGCGAACGATTTTGAGCCATGTCATTCAAGGTCTCTAACCATCGACTATTATCATCTCACGGACCCCAACCAGGTAGTCGACGTATGTACGATGTTCCACGTTGTAGCTGACTAACTGACTGCAGAAGGCTACGATTGCACACAATAATTTAATGTAACAAGTTTGTGGTTACTACAATCTGGAGTTAAATGCCATGTTTTACAACAAATCACATAGCTCATCATAAAAGCATGAAAACCTAGAATGTCATACGGACAGAAGTAGTATATATAGTAGTATAGTATATAGTAGTATATATATACCAAGCTAAGCATAAACACGAATACGTACAAGGAGAAACCACAAGCAAAAACATGAAGTTCCTATGATATAACTGCAGTCTCCAAAATCCAATTTAATGTAATACACTTGACATACAATTCTTTCAATACTGTTAAAAGTCTCAACAAGAAAACTGTACGATTCAAAATAGATCCGTATAGTACATTGCATTGGTGGATCGAATCAAAGTGACCTAAATAATGGACAATCGTTATTTTAAACTATTTTATCAATAATCATAATAATAATAATAATAATTTGAATGGAACCAACTTGATTGGATGCTAATGATTTGACTATCATCTACTATCGATCTCTAGCGCCTGAATGAATTCTTCACACAACAAGACTAATTTAATGTAATTAAATTTTTAAAAAAAATAAAAAAGTAAATTGATTTTATCCATTAGTTTAAGATAATACTTTCAGGATAAAATAGTTTACACCTTTTAGGAAAAATAAATAATATTACGAGAATAGAGAAGTAGTAGTCAGTGGCATGCTTTAAGTAAGCGAAAAAAAACATTTATTTAATGAAAATTTAATTTGAAGACAAAAAGTAGTTTTTGAATAAATAATAATAATAACAATAATAATCAGTAATACAATAATGATGCACAATAGAAAAAGTTTCTAATGAAGTATTTTATTTTTGCAGTGAACCAAAATTTACTGATAATATCACACTCACTATTACCAATGATATTGTTGTTACTACTACTACTACTACTACCTCGAACTACACTGGGATTCAGCCTGACAATGTCACCTCAATGTGCTATTGGAATCTGGTAACTTGAACCGATAGACATACATAAAAATGAAGTAATTTCCTCGTCTGAATTTTCAGGAGTAGACCGTTCACCACTGAGGCTCGCTTATTGACTTAGAATATGCCGATGACATTGTCCTACTTGGTGAAGACGCTGACAAAATGCAGAGTCTTCTAACCATCCTGAGCAAAAATGCAAGCATGTTCGAGATTCGGTTCTCACGCTCGAAATGCAAAATGTTGCTTCAAGAGTGGGTTGCATCAGCAACTGAACTAGTGATAGGCAGTGAAGTAGTCGAACGTGTAGACCGCTTCACTTATCTTGGGAGTCTCATCAGTGCTGATGGCCTGGTGACTGACGAAATTTCAGCTCGGATACAGAAGGCTCGATTGGCTTTTGTCAACCTGCGTCACTTATGGCGCAGGCGAGATATCCGCTTGTTAACCAAAGGACGAATGTACTGTGCAGCAGTTTGCTCTGTCCTACTATACGGATGCGAAACATGGCCGTTAAGAGTAGATGTTCGTAGGTTACTAGTATTCGATTATAGGCGTATCCGAAGCATCGCTCGTGTATCCTGGGACAACCGAGTAAGCAATGCTATCGTTAGGAAACGAGTTCTAGGTAATGATGGCAAATCAATAGATGAAGTGGTGAAACTTCATCAGTTGAGGTGGTTGGGACATGTGTTACGAATGCCTAACCACCGACTACCTCGACGAGCTATGTTTTGAAGTGTAGGAGTAGGTTGGGAGAAAGCTTGGGGCGGCCAGACCAAAATATGGCACACATCCATGAAGTAACTGACAAGTTGACTGAGTCATGTTGGTACATGTAGGCGACGCGTGGTTGGGGTCCGCGAGACGAAAGTCACCAATGATTAGAGACCTTGAACGACATGGCTCCGAATCGTTTGCAATGGCGGGAGCAGGTGCATCCATTGTTTGTGTTCTCTCTAATTCTAGCCTTCTGAATTCCTCATAATCTCTACCTTTCTCTATCTAAATTTATCTCACTGAATTATACTTCTCGAATCATATCTTCGAACCCTAATCTTCTCCATTGCTGCTCCTAATTCTACTATCGCTATCACTGTTGGATTTGTACTGACAGTTACGTCTCTGTGCTTATATGGTATGGCAACTTGAACTGATGTACTTATGTACGAAGTTCTGCGTTGTATCTGTCTGTCTGTCTGTCTGTCTGTCTGTCTATCTGTCTGTCTGTCAATAAAGTAATTCAATTAATGAATGGTGAAAATAGAAAATGACGTTAATAGCATTCATTCAGGACAGTCAGTAAAAAAAATATTCTCCAGCACAAAGCAATCATCATCAAGTGATAGACAAAATTATTTTTTTTTAAAAAAAAAACAGCGTACTATGGAATGCAAAAAGCCTTGTGTGCAATAGTATATCTATCATTGTTCACAATATTATTGTATTTTACAAAATAACATACAAATGTAATTTTAAGAAATAAAAAAAGAAAGTCAAACATGAAAATCTATTAGCATAAACAGTAGGAATACTAGTAGTAGTAATTAGCAAGTAAAACGACATGAAAATGTTGTTAATATATAAAATGGCCGACTGACTGACTATCTTACAAAACATAGTTAAATCTAACCTTTTTTTAAACAAGATTTATATTTGTTATATTTCTTGTTACACAAGGTTGAAATAAATACAGTGTGACCTATCTCTTTGTATCTCTCTTTGACAACCCTACTTTCACAATCAGGATCTTATATTGTGGAATTTAAAGAAACTGATCTAGATGAATACTTAGATTTCGACCAATTTGGTCTCTCGTGCTGCGTCACTTATGGCGAAGGCGAGATATCCGTTTGCTGACTAAAGGACGAATGTACTGATCAGTAGTTCGCTCCGTCTTACTTTATGACTGTGGAACATGACCAGTGAGAGTGGAAGATATTCGTCGGTTACTGGTTTTCGATCACAAGTGTTTTCGGAGCATTGCTCGTATATCCTGGGACACCCGAGTGAGCAACGCTGTTATTAGGACACGGATGCTAGGTAAGAATAGAAGATCAATAGATGAAGTAATGAAACTTCATCAGTTGAGGTGGTTGGGACATGTGTTGCGTATGCCCAACCACCGAATGCCTCGTCGAGCTTTGTTTTGTAGTGTAGGAATAGCTTGGAAGAAAGTTAGGGGTGGCAAAATCAAAACATGGCAGAAATCCATGAAGTCATTGACGAGTGGACTTAGCCATGTCGGTAGTTGTCAACTGCCTGGTCGGGGTCCGCGAGATAATAGTAATCGGTGATTAGTGACCCTTGAATGACATGGCTCAAAATCGTTCGCAATGGCGCCGGTGCATTTATTCTTTGTGTTCTCTCAATCATAATCTTCTGGGTTCTTCAACAACCCTAGTTTTGACTTTCGAAACTTATCTCACTGAATCATTCTTCTTGAATAATATCTTCTAATCCTAACCTCTCCGATTACTTCTAATACCTTTACTACCTCTTCTACTATTGGATTTGAATTGACAATTACATCTCTGTGCTAATGTTGTGGTATGGCAACATGAACTGATGTACTTACGTACGAAGTTCTACGTTGCATCTGACTGAGATGATTACGTTTGATAATCTTATACAGTACATGAGAATTTATTCATTGAACAAGATGTCTGAAGAGAATATGAACATTAGTGAAAATGTTTAAAAATGTAATTTATAATTCTGTCTTTATTACATACAACCCAGCTATTCCTAATGCTCCTCAGTATTCTCGGACATCAATTCACTTGAGATGTTCTCCCAAATCAGAACATGGTTGAACAGGAAATAAGATTACATTCCAATAAGCAAAGTTGGAAGGAAGATAGAAGTTCCAAAGGAAAAAGACGTTAGGTATATTTATATTTTTCTTACATGAAAAGATTCTAGAATATTCCCTCAGTATCGACGACTAGCTCTGCTTGGATACGAAAGAGCCACAATCAGAGTGCAACAATCCAATCAGGTTTTAATCCAATCTATGTCCCAGTAAGTGACAGTAAGTGACTGTCAAGCCATTTACAAACAAAGAATACGCAGACCATATCACATAAGAATGTTAGAAATTTAAAATTAATGGACAGGAAACGTTGAACTTGCTTAGTCAGCTTATACTACGATACTACTAGCAGGCGAAGTGTTATTTAATATACGAAAACTACCGATAATACTTTGAAATGTAAATTTTACAGATAGACATTGATTTTCAAAAATAAGACAAAAACGACTTCTTTTTTTGGGGTGGCAGAGTTTTGGAGGTTTGTTTTTTTACACATTTGAAATCATCAATCAATCATTTGGCAGTAACTACCAAAGACAAATGGGTGAGGTCGCGCAAAATTCCTAGATCAAGCAGAGTTAGACATTAACACCGCTGGATCCCTGTCTAGTGGTCCGATGGTTAGGCGTTCACGCACAATACCGAGGGTCCCGGGTTCGAATCCTGCGGGTGGCAGGAGTCGTGGATGCGCACTGCCACTGATGAGTCCCATACCAGGACGAAACGGCCGTCTTTCAGTGCTTCTAGGTTTCTAATGGTGGCCATCTAACAATGATTGATTGATGATTTCAAATGCGTAAAAACGATACTTATTAGATTACGTGAATTTCTAGATCTTGTGTTGAAATGTCAGTTCAAGTTGTACTGTTGCTTTTTCTTTGCTAAACATAGTCTTATAATTCGATATAATCCAGAAAGTAAGAATTTCCATTTTGCTGACTGTGGATGACAGAAATTTATGATTCGCTCTACTGTGTACAACAAACACCAACAATATTACTTAAAATGGTGAGACAGATTAACCTAGAGACAAATATCAAACACACTCATGAAGTCTGATTTTACATGGAACAGTAAGCAGTCTCGTTGACGTGAAATAGGGACGATATTTTCTGATTACAAATAATGAAGATTCTGTTAATAAGAACTGAATAGTATGAGAACTGTCATGCAACAATCACCAAACAATGAAATTCAAGAAAACAACAGTTCAGAAAAAGGTTAAAATACTCAATAAAGTCAAAATTCAAATCGAACAATTCTGTATACACAAAAACAGACTTGACCTGAAAGCATGGAAAAATTTGTAAACTAAATGTCAATGCAACCAATTAATTTAATTAACAGTCAAGGTCATTGAGGAAATATCAAACGAGAAAAATATGATTGTGTTTATCCTCTAATCAACTACTACTAGAAACTACTAGTAGTAATTAACCAATAATAAAAATCCACATAATCTGAAGTCTTTTTTTTTCAAAAAGACTCAATGAGAAAAAGTCAAAATCGATAAGTTACAATTCATGTTAATGAACGCATCTTTTATTTCATCTCTATATAGTCTATTTTTATGAACCAGCTTTATTTAGTTTCTCTTTTCTTTTTCAACTTTTATTCACAGTACAAATGTTGTTATGATTTTGTTAGAATTTTAAATAACTGATTACTCTTTCACGTAATCAGAAGTGTTTGGGCCTATTCGCATTAAGTTGGGCTGCCTCAACTACTATCCTACGACACCATATGCTATACTGCTATCTAGAGCTGAAGATTTCCTATGAGATCAGAGGTACGTTGTGAATATTGTGGATGGCTTGGCTTTGCTTTGGTAAGCATTGCTAACAGTCTACATACAAAATTGGTTATCAGGGTGACCGATTTCAATGATATTGGTGATTGTTTTGCAACATCACAGAGGGCCATTATCATTGGGGTGCTGTATTACATATCACACCATTGCTAATAATAATGAGTTTGACAGTCATATAAGCGGAATGGGTCGAAATAGCCTGTTCATGCGGTGCATGTTGATTGTCAGTCAGTCAGTCAGTTGCAACGTAAGAACTTCGTACGTATGTACATAAGTTCATATTGCCATACCACATTAACACAGAGACGCAAATGTCAAATCAAATCCCATAGTCGTAAAGATAGTAGAGGTATAATTGGTAATGAAGAATATTAGGGTTTGGAGATATTATTCAAGAAGTATAATTCAGTGAGATCAGGTTAGAAAGACAAAGGTAGAAGTGCTGACGAATCCAGAAGATTAGGATTTGAGAGAGCACAATGAATGGAGATGCACTTGCGCCATTGCAAACGATTCTGAGCCATGCCATTCAAGGTCTCTAACCATTGGTGACTTTCGTCTCGCGGACCGCAACCACGCAGCCTACATCTACCAACATGACTCAGTCCACTTGTCAGTGACTTCATGGATTTCTGCCATGTTTTAGTCTGGCCGCCCCTAGCTTTCTTCCAACCTACTCCCACACCACAAAACATAGCTCGACGAGGCAGTCGGTGGTTAGGCATTCGTAACACATGTCCCAACCACCTCAACTGATGAAGTTTCAGCACTTCATCTATTGATCTGCCATCCTTACCTAGTACTCGTTTCCTAACGACAGCATATTGATTGACGCAATCATGGATTGGAAATATATGTACTAGTGTATATCTAAATGGTGTGAATAGTCCATCAAGGTATCAGGTACCTGTATGGTTGCACCACGAGATTGAGCCGAACTGTTCATGTAGTAATGGTAAAACGACGTGAACAGTTTCCTTGGTTCTCCTGAAAACCAATATAAAATTGCCCTAGACAATATATACAAGGTAAATTTATATAATTGTGAATGTAAATTGTCTTTCATGTAATAAACATCATATACATAGAACACAACAAATCTCATATAGTTCAACATTGTTCTTTATTTAAAAAAGTTAATTTTCAGATTGTCTATCATTTACAAATCGTATTGATTTGTGATACAATACTCATTCCCGACCGTAGCTGCTACCTTGACGTGGTGGTCGGGCTTGACTATCGTCATGACCCAACCGAGCTATACTGGCTGCAACATATGTTCCTGCAGGTCCTACCAGGCCAGGCAGGTCGATTGGAGAACGATGAGACTAAAAGCAGCTACCCAAGGTCTGAGGGCGAAGTCGTACTGCTGACTACTGCAGAGGGGTGTGACAGCAGTAAGGTGTTTCCCTCGGACAACCAGCATCTGCAGCGATGCTGCCTTCTCACAAGGAAGGAAGGGTTAGAAAAGTTCGGCCCTAAAAATGTTACACCTCCCCTATCTCACGGATTTCCGTCTCCAGCGGTAAGGGTGCCCACTAAGTGCCTTTAAGAACGGAGCTAATCCTCAAAATACCTTTCATAAAAAGGCCGTGCGTGACCGGCCTCAAGCAGTTGTCCCTTGGATGCTGCGGTCACGCTCCCAAGTCTCCAAGACTAACACTAATCTATTTTCCTTTTCTGGTTTATCAAGAAACAACCTTCCACGGTGTGGGCAGCCGGGAAGTGTCAGTCGCCCTCATACACGTAACAGCACGAAAGACCACCAATCTGGTCGAAATCAAATCCTTTTACATCTCTGTGCTGATATGGTATAGCAACATGAACTAATGTACTTACGTACGAAGTTCTACGTTGCATCTGGCTGACTGACTGACAATACTCATTGAAATTAAAAAAAAAACAGTTATCTGTACTAACCTTATCATTATTATTAGGTAATTTTATCTCTTGACTAGATGGTTGTTCAACAATCACTTTTTCATGTTGCTGTGGTTGTTGTTGTTGTTGTTGTGATTGGTTTATTGATTGTAATGATGATGATGATAATGAAGAGATTGAAGAAAATATTGATTTTGTTGGTTGTTCGTTTGTAGAATTCATGCAACAATTTGATGCCAATGTAAACACAACAGATGGTTGAGTGGTTTTCAAATCAGGTGGTACACATATACAATGAAGATTAGTATCTTTATTGATATCTGGATTATAAGAATCATTTCTTGATGATCGTTTAACAACTAAAGTAACATGAGTATTGACAGGTTTATTTCGTAATAGTGCAACAGTTTGCGCTTGACCAATTTCATTCACATCAATATCATCAACCTAAATATGCAATCAAAAGAATAGAAGCTGTTTAGATTTGGGAAGCGGCCTATTCGATTGATTTTAGAAAATGAGATAAAGATGGGAAGATTGTAGACATTAATTTTGAAAACATAATCTTGTATGTAAGCAGAAGTGGATAGTGGTGGTTAGCACTGGAATCCAGGATTCGCGTTTCATCCTTTTTGCAACTCATCAGCTAGATATGAATACACTCCAGTGTTGATACTCACACCAAGGTTCGAACTCAGTACCTCTTACTTCACAACAGCTTGACATGTTATCCGTTGAGCTATCGAGTTTTAAAATAAACAGTTACTTGTGCAATGGAGATGAGTTTTAATTTAATATGTAACGATTGTTTGCATCTTTCTCCTTGGTGTTAAGTATTGCAGTTGATCAATCTGTTTTTTCATATGAAGATTGTCTTAATATTTTCACTTTGTTATGAATGAATTAAAATTTATCTCCGTAGCACAATCTAGTAGTCAAATGAACTCACTAGCTAAAGTGGTTTACCATGAATAAAACTAACCAACAACTGATTAATACTAAATAATACTTAACTCATTCCCCATACCATTTTCTTTAATGTTTCCAATCAGTCAGTGTACAGATAGATAACTGACTAATTTGTTGTCAAGTTTATTTTTACCGAGATCAGAGATAATAGCTAGAGTAAGAGCTTCGCTGTCTAAATTAGTTTAAATAATGCCATAAATAACCTCTAACTTTGAACACCGTTTTTTTTCAAAAATTGCTAAATATGTTTTAACTAGTATTCTTTTTCTATCATAGATAGATTACTTTGCCAAGTTGAATAAACTAAGTTTCAACGAAACCCATTTCGTTCTAAGCTCATGAAATTCACTAACTATCATGAAGCTGGAGATTTTTTTGACAATGATTTAATTTATTTTGTATTACTAGAGAATCTATTTTATTGCTATAATTCTATGATAACACTGTTCGATGAGAGTTTACAATGTAAGCGTCATTAAAATAGCTGCAAACTTTTATGAGTTAGAAAATCTGTCTTTGAGAAAATGGTGGAAAAGATTTGTAGCTCAGGTGGATGATTGTGGTGGTGGTGTTTGGTTCTCTGAGATGGATGTTTTGGTTGTGAAGCTTTCATTGTTCTTCTGCTGAACAACAACAGCATCAGCACAAACTTCTTCAGATAGAAGAAGTGAAGTATTCGAATTTCTCTATGTTTGACCTGTAGCTTGTTCTGTTAACCTTGATCTTGACTGGTTGCCGTTGACCCTAAACCTGTCATTGTTTGCACCATTGTTTTGATTGTATCCCCCTTTTGATCTGTTTCTTGATCCTATGTCCCCTATGATTTTCCTGGTTGGTTGATAAATCGGGTCAATGTCGATGTGTTTGTTGATTGCTGATTGGCCTGAGTGCCAAGCTTCTAAAAATTCCCTAGTGTTCTTTGTCCTCCCCTAATCAGTATTTCCATATTGTTCCAATCAAATGTATGTCCATAATTGTCGGTGTGTATTGATATAAGCGAAGCGTTGTCGTGGCGTTTGACTGCTAATTGGTGTTCACGTAAACGAAACTGAAGAGGCTGTCCACTTTGTTCTTTGTAGTGTTTTTCAAGGTCTGAGCAATTTATTTTGTAGATGATATTTGGTTTTTCTTCATATGTCATTTTGTCCTTCGGTCTACATAGGATTGATTGAAGTAATTCTGTTGGTTTGTGTGCCACACCTACTCCAAATGGTTTCAGTAGTCGTGCTGTATGCTCCGATATGTCTTTGATGTATGGCAGGATGATCCGTTTATTGGTTCCTGTGCTTGATTTCGCTTCTGATGATGGTTTCGGTTGATGTTTTTTGATGAAGTTGCGTGGATTGCAAGATCAGCAATCAACAAACACATCGACATTGACCAAAGTTATCAACCAATCAGAAAAACCATAGAGGACATAGGATCAAGAAACAGATCAAAAGGGGGATGCAATCAAAACAATGGTGCAAACAACGACAGGTTTAAGGACAACAGCAACCAATCAAGATCGAGGTTAGCAGAACAAGCTACAGGTCAAACGTGGAGATATTCAAATACTTTACTTCTTCTATCTGAAGTTTGTGCTGAGGATGTTGTTCAGAAGAACAATGAAAGCTCCACAACCAAAACACCCAGCTCAGAGAACCAAACACCACCACCACACAATCTGTCTGGATTAAGCACAACTAATAAATCTAGTCAATACCAACATTTTTAAAGGTCGAGTAGTGAATAAACATAGTTGAAGAAAGACACTTATTTACCTTTACTAAAAGATCACCAGGTTTTAACTGACCATCGATTAAAGCTGCTCCACCAGGGAGTATATTTTTCACACAGATTACTTTTTGACCAGTTGATGAATCACGACTAGTTAAACTAAATCCTAATCCATTAGAACCTAATGTGAGAAAAAAAACAGTAAATTAAAAAAAATAATAATACAAGAACCAGATAATTTCAGGGTAGTAAAAACTGATATTTATATTAAGACATTACCGTTGGATACTACTACTATACGATGATAGTCAGTCAGTCAAAGTCAACGACGTTTCGGATATGCCACTGAACGTTTCTGAATTGACACCCAACGATTCCAATCATTCGTTATGAAAATCACCCGAGGAGGGGCCAACCACGAAATCTCGATCTACCTGCATGGTTCTGTTCCATTGTTAATGAGTTCATGGAACGATAGTATGTCTTGGTTTTTTTTAGACTACAGTTAAATAAAACAACCTTCCTCATCGAATTAGGCAGATGGTGACTAAACATACATTGTACATATCGAAATCATTTCATTGGACGAGGATTGAACTGATTCGCTATGCTTATTTAGTAACTTATGTCTAAATTCAACACTGCACACTCAATATTAATTAGTAATATGGTGTGAGCTACTTATAAGTAGTATATGAGGTGAGTGTCAACGTAATGTCTGGCAGTAGAAGATGGGGGAAGATCAAGAAAGGAAGAGTCAGAAAACAATGGAATTTGTATGAAATGCATGAATAGTGACAATGGATTGATGTTTGGCAACAGGAACAGTCCAGTTCGATATGATGAACTGATATTTTGCAAATGAACGATTTACGATATGGTTTTCCGATTTTACTGAGTAACTCCGTAATTTCGTTAAATACAATTCGGTTGCCCCACCTGTGTTCTCCTTCACTACAGTATCAGCTCTCTAAATAACAACAAAAGTAATAAGGATGAATGAAAGAGGAACTAGAGTATATTTATTCGGAATTTTCCGATGAAAGAAGGACCAATGTGGTCCAGGAACAAATCAGACAAATGAAACAATACGCAGATCTTTTAAAGGTCAACCAGTCACAAGCAACTGTTTAATTAGGCCACTACCAGATCTTAGTTTAAATGCAGGCTAGGTCACTAAATTTTAGAGGATTTAGAGGAAGGTACAGTAATACTTTCCAATAAATTAAATATAAACATTTTTAAAGATTCTGATCTGTGGTTAAGTCGATCTCATGTCGATTACTTTTAGAAAACTTACGATATGAACTTTTCTAGTAAAGCTAAGATAGTCATATAAGAAGAGGTAGGAAACATACGCCTTAATATGATGAATTCTATCCACAACAGGTAAAAATCATGTTCACAAAATAAGAAATATTATGTTGAGATTTTTGGTAACAATAGTACTAATAATTGTACTATGTGAATTAATTCACAAATGTTCACCCTAATATAATTTGTTTTTATTTACATTTTCGATGTGGACTTGATTAGATGTAGTAATAGCAAGTGTACTTTCAAGTAATAATTGTATGAACTTTTCTTGAATAAAATTCAAAAGAATAGTATTCACAGGTATATCTGAGGGTTATATGTTAACCAGTCAGTAAGTCAGTTAGTTACAACGTGGAAGAACTTCGTGCGTACATGCGTACGTACGTTCAAGCCGCTATACCACATTAGCAAAGAGAGGCAATTGTCAATTCAAACCACATAGTAGTAGAAGTAGCATTCAGTCAGTTGCAACGTAGAACTTCATACGTATGTACATAAGTTCATGTTGCCATACTACATTAACACAGAGAAGCAAATGTTAAATCAAATCCCATAGTAATAAAGATAGAAGAGGTATTAATGGTACTGAAGAAGACTAGAGTTTGAAGATATTATTCAAGAAGTATAATTCAGTGAGATAAGGTGGCAGAGGAGTTGACGAGTCGAGAAGATTAGAACTTGAGAGAACACAAAGAATGAATGCACCTTCGTCATTGCAAACGATTCGGAGCCATGTCATTCAAGGTCTCTAACCATTGATGACTTTCGTCTCGCGGACCCCAACCAGGTAGTCTACACCTACCAACATGACTCAGTCCACTTGTCAGTGACTTCATGCATTTCTGCCATGTTTTCGTCTGGCCGCCTCTAGCTTTCTTCCAACCTACTCCTACACCACAAAACATAGCTCGACGAGGCAGTCGGTGGTTAGGGATACACAGCCTATGTCCCAACCACCTCAACTGAAGAAGTTTCAGCACTTCATCTATTGATCTGCCATCCTTACCTAGTACTCGTTTCCTAACGACAGCACTGCTTACTCGGTTGTTCCATGATATAACAGAGTAAGCAATGCTGTCGTAGCAAAAAAAGCATTAGCAGTAATTGAAGAGACCAGAGTTAAAAAATATATTAATTCAACAAGTATAATCTAGTGAAACAAACTTAAAAGAAAGGAAAGCGATAAAACTGATTAAGAATCCAGAAGATTAGGAGATTTAAAAGAAGTCAACGAATGAAAACGCCTGCACCAATATACAAACAATTTTGAGCCATATCATTCAAGATCTCAAACTATCAATTACTAACTATCATCTTCCATTAAGAATTTGTAATTCAATTGTTCTTTCTTAACCAAAACTATATTCTTAAATATTTAAGATATCATTTTAATTGCTAAAACTAATAGTTCAATTTCATTTCAATTCGAAGTGCTATTGAGAAGACTGCGGCAGGAGCAAATTTACACTCTTAGTCAATTAAAAACGAAAACATTACATTGAACACTCTATTTGCACACCATCTTTGAGTCGTTACTTCCAACGCTCCATCCTCCTTCCATTCCTGTTGTTGCTTCCTTTCCTTCCTGTTGGTACTCCCTCTTTACTTCTTGCTTTTGCTCCATTTGCTTTCCCTTTTCCTCTTGTGACCGTGAGACTTCTTTCACGTCCCTTCTTATACTACTTATATTGTTCGTATAAGTAGCACACACCACACTATACATTACTGCAAAAACTTTATACCGACACGCTATGTTGAAATAATTGGATTAGATTAGATTAGATTACCCAAATGATATTATTCTTTATTAGTCAACAAAGAAAAATTCATCTTACCTTTACATAAATGAATAGTGTGATAAGTATAGGCAATTAAATCGTCTTTATCATCACTATTATTATTATGATTAACATTTGTTTGTGAATGGACAATAGATTTTGTCAAATCTTGTGATGATTCCAAATAACTTGGTGGAGGTTGTTGTTTGCTCTTTAATTCATCTTCTTGTTGCTGTTTCTTCTCTTGTAAAAATTCATCAATCAATGGTTTAATTATTCCTTCTGGTATACGAGTTAACACAGTACTAGGTGAACGACGAGGTGGTGGTGGTGGGATTGGTTTTGATTGACCGATATTGGATTTGACTTCAAGTTCTTTATCTTTAGCCGATGGATCTGGCACAATGACAATTAGACCACATGATGGTTTCTCTGATTTTTCAACAATTGGTTTATTGGTATTAGGAATACTTTGTGTAGATAATGATAATGAAGGACGACTACTATACTGGTAGGCTGAATAAGGAAGGACACGAAGTAATATTTCTGGTTCATGTAATGCTTCTTGAAATATATCACGACCCCTAGGGACAGGAACAAAACAAAATATATATATATATGGGAATTAGAAACAAAAATTAACATAAACAACTTGTGAAACAATAACAACAAAATTTGTGATAGTTTTTATCATGAACTACTAGTGTGGTGTGAGCTACTTATAAGTAGTATATAACGTGAGTGTCAACGTAAAGTCTGGCAGCAGAAGATGAGGGAAGATCAAGAAAGGAGGAAGAGTGGGAACACAATGGAATTTGTATGAAACGCATGAATAGTGACAATGGATTGATGTTTTGCAACAGGAACAGTCCAGTTCGATATGATGAACTGATATTTTGCGAATAAACGATTTACGATATGGTTTTCCGATTTTACTGAGTAACTCTGTAATTTTCGCCGAATACAATTCGGTTGCCCCACCTGTGTTCTCGTTCACAACACTAGCAGCGGTCTGAGAACCATGGAAAACTGAACACCGTGATAGATACACAATACTGAGGGGATGTGTAACTCATTTATTGAGAATAGATTTGTGTACTGAACCTTGAGGCATGCTGCTTTATGTATGAGAACTACTAGTAATACTAACCGAATGCCTAAACAAAAATACGTGAAGCAATAGTTGAAGCCTGTCACCTAATATGGTTTTAAAAGTCAAACACTTTCACTATTAAGCTACTGCTTCACTAGACAGCAGTTTCATCTTAGTTTCGGACTTCTTAACAATACGAATCTGTACAAAATCAACCGGAATAGAAGCCACGATTTACATGTGCTAGCTACCATGGTGAACATAACACTTTCAGACTACTTAGTTCAGAAGTAGACAATTTGCATGTAGAAATTCAGTAAATTTGTAGTACAGAGTAAAGATCATCCAAGGTAGTAATTAATTACCGATGTGTATAAAACACCACTAGTTATTACTTGTTACCTGTTGGGGATGTTAGATAAACCCAGAACTCGCTTGATAAATGCCTTATTTTGGATTTCACGTTTGCCAGCATGGGCTGATCAGTTGACCTTGAGATTTCATTTCCCACCAGGAAAATCCATGTCTGTGATTGACTGCTGTGTATTTTAGTGTGCTATTTTTTGGTGACTGTCCCAAGGACGTTTCTATGATGTATAAATAAACGAGAGTTGTGTGCTTGATTGTATTGTGATTGCTAGGTGTTTGTAGAATATACTTCTACGCTTATCAAGACTTCTCATTTGCAGTTTAGGATCAAAGTATGGTTCATTGTCTCGTTCGTGTTTATCGACTAAGGTGAACTCGTAGTCGCATCAAACGTACCTAGTGACGAATCAAACCAGTTAGAAGTGGACTCACAACCATGAATAAAGTAGAGGGGGTTAGAAATGTTTTTTCAATTAGAAAGAAGATAGTTTTTAATACGCTATCAACTACTTATGAAAGGAATAAACAAAATATGATTAAAACAATGCTTCTTGGCATGGATTCTATTATTTGTTCTTTAAAAATAACAGACAGACTATAGAAACATTATCTAAGTTATTTTTCGTTCATTTGTGTAACGAAACAGATTAATTTCAATCAACTTATTCATAAGGTATTTTGGGTATAATCTACCCAATTGTCCAAACGGAAGTAGGTTAAGCGTGATTCGAACCTGGAATTCGTGGCTACTGAGAGGCGAAAACCTTAAACACTAAGCCACCACACTATGACCTGAAAAAAAATAAATAGTCCCACGAAGAGAAAAGGAGTGTTCGATAACAGTAAAGAAAAGTTACTTAGTTTGATTTTCTTAAGTAAGAATAATAAATAGTAATCTAGATTTAAGATTTTCTTTGAATTAAACAACGAACGGGTTTGATTAAGATACTAGAAAGCTTTACCACTGATGTACAATGTAGCATCGAGAATAGGTTACTGATTTATGAAGCATGTTTCATTCACATCAGACCCATAATGAAAAAGTGTACAGCTTTGATGGTAGTTGATGCAGTGAGCCAATCAAAAATAGCCAACTGAGAAAGCCATTTGATGACTATCAGAAAAGTCCTAGAGGACGAATATATACCATCAGTCAAGATATTGATTCATTTCCCAAGGGAGCGGAATATATATATATATATATATATATATATATATATATATATATATATATATATATATATAGAGAGAGAGAGAGAGAGAGAGAGAGACAAGTAGTTATACATAGTATTTGATAGGCAACTAGGCTTTCTCCTCTGCTCCTGCCTTCTTGCTCAAATAGCCAGTATGTGGGGTTAGCACGCATTGCATTTAGATCTCGAACATCTGCACATCATAACAGTAGTATCAGAATTTTGTTGACTGTCGAAGCCTAAACTACACACAGACATTATATTTTGTAGTGCTAAGTTAGATAGTGATATGGATTGTCTGGCAAAAATACAAGGTTAACAGCCGCCTGAATCGCTCAGTCGTGACACCTTAAAGTATGAAACTGAGTGACTCAAAGTCTAATTAATCAAGATGGCAGGTACGCCTTGCTCACAAATGCCAACAAACACGAGACATTGTTGCATGGTTTCATCTACACTATCTAGAGCCAACTGAAATAAAAAGCAAAAGATGGTTTACGCTATGCCAAAAAGTTAACAGTGCTACTTGTATTAAAGGTGGATACAGAATTATTAAGAAATGAGAAAAACATTACTGATTAAGGTCTACTGACCTAAATATTATATACAGAATCCACTACGGCTAAAAGCTTCATGTTCAGTTCATATACACATGAATAAAGAAAAAAACATAAATAACTAACTTTTCAAATGGTATACCGCTAAGTGAAATTCCATTGATACTTAGTATTCGATCTCCAACAGATAAACATTGTTCACGTGCTACACGTCCATTCGGTAAAATGCTATGAACTTCAAGACCACATTCACTTAAAAAAGAAAATAAGATATATATAAATGATTACATAATTGTTTTTAACGTAAACTATTTTAATGTTTGATAGAAAAAAAAAAACTGATATATTTTTAATAGAATTAATTATAAAAGTGAACAGTATAGTATATTTTCTTTTTCATTTGTTATAAACCAACAGGAAATGTTTAAAGCTATTAGATTTACTTTAATACACTTATGATACTGTACGAAATGATAAAGAATTTAACCAGCTTAGTTGGGAAAACTCAAAATGAACACTGAAAAAAAATATGCAATAACTTAAAAGAAAGAGTTGAAAACGTAGAACTTCGTACGTAT